AAAAAAAAAAAAAGATACTGCTAAAAATACCAATAATCACACTTGCTGTGGAAACAGTATAAATTTAGAGCTAGTCCAACAAAAAAGGCAATTAGGATGGTATCATCTCACTTGAGGATGTTTTTTAATGTTTTTGTCATTTCATAAACCAATGGCTTTTTCTTGGGTAAAGTCCATGTATAGTATTTTCTAAAGACTGTTGGAATTTTGCTCAACAAGTACTTAATGCAAACTGGTATTACATTAAAAAGGGAAGATATCAAATCTTTTCACCATTCCATTCTTAGTACATTATAATTAAAACACTGAAAATGGTTACTTTGGTTCCGAAAGTTACAACTTTTGGTGTTCATTTTACTTGTTAATTTGAAACAGTTATACCAATTATAGAAAGAAAGAGCAGATACCAGAAAATGATTTTCATTTTAATATTTTCCTTTTTATTTTTTCAATAGAGAAGAAGTACGTGCCCCAATTCCTCAAAAGCAAGAAATATTGGTGGAACCAGAACCTTTGTTTGGCGGTAAGTTCACATTTGCTTAGTTTTATTTGGCTTTGTTGTTGTTTTTAGGGTTTTGTTTGTTTTTTGGTCATGGGTCTTGAACTCAGGCCTGGGCTTGTCCCTGAGATGCTTTTGCTGAAGGCTAGCATTCTACTACTTTGAGCCACAGCTCCACTTCCAGTTTTCTGGTGGTTAATTTTGACAATATGAGGCTTTCCTGTCCTGGCTGGCTTTGAACCATGATTCTTAGCTCTCATCTCAGCCTCTTGAGTAGCTAGGATTACAGGCATGAGCCATCAGTGCAGAAGATTGATGGAATTTATTTTATTTTATTTATTTGTTGGTTCTAAGGCTTGAACTCTAGGCTTGGGCACTGTTCCTGAGCTCTTAATCCATAGCACCACTTCCACTTTTTTGATGATTAATTGGAGTAAGAGTCTCATGGACTTGCCTGCCTGGGCTGGCTTTGAACTGCAATCTTCAGATCTCAGCCTCCTGAGTAGCTAGGATTATAGGTGTAAGTCACTGGCACCCAGCTTTTTTTTTTTTTTTTTTAATTTTTTGCCAGTTGTAAGGCTTGAACTCAGGGAGGGTTTGGGCACTGTCCCTGAACTTCTTTTGCTCAAGACTAGCACTCTTGAGCCACAGTGCTATTGCCCGCTTTTTCTGTTTATGTGGTACTGAAGAATTGAACCCAGGGCTTCATGCATGCAAGGCAAACAAGCCATATTCCCACCCAAAATTGGGTTTTTAATGTGGTTGGACAAAGATGATAAAATGAGTGTTGTATTGACTATAGTTATGCAGAGAAGTTGTTTGACATCGAGAACACTCTTATAGGTAATTCAGAATTGAAAATAAGTTATAAGTAAAGGATGAAAAAATTAAGCCTTAGTACTATAAAAGTTTTTTTTTTTGGGGTCCGGTCGTGGGGCCTGAACTCTGGGCCTGAGCGCTGTCCCTCAGCTCTTCAGCTCAAGGCTAGCGCTCTACCACTTCAGCCACAGTGCCACTTCTGGCTTTTTTCTTTTTGCTTATGTGGTGCTGAGGAATCGAACCCAGGGCCTCATGCATGCAAGGCAAGTGCTCTACCACT